GAGATGATGGATATGTAATTATCCTGATTTGATCATTACACAAAGTGTATGCATATCCAAACACATTGTACCCCATATACATGCACAATTATTATGTGCCAATTAAAATTTAAAAAGTTATAATTAATTGGCTTGTTAAGATGTTCATTTCTAAATATCATTTATCTAATAAAAGGGACAAGGACTCTGGAAAATGGTTAATTCTAGAGCTGGGGCAGGGAAAACACATCATGAATCTGGAGCATATCGTAGTGCTATACAGTAAGGAAATGCTACACACATACCCACAGAAGGTGAGTCTATGTCAAAGCCAACTGAAGGATCTCCAACTGGCCAAATATGCAACAGTTTGAGGAACAAAATTAATAACGTAGTTCTGGATTGTAACACAAAGTACTAAATAAATATCCATGAATCCATAGTGAGATAAATAAATGATTGAACAAATAAATCAGAAGGTATAAATTTTTCTTACAGAAGAATTCCAAATATTATAGGTAAATACTCTGTCCATCCAGGCAGTGCTCTTCCTCCTATCCTTTTGAGGGTGAACTGGACTTGACTCACTTTAAAGAACAGTTCAGAAAGAGGAAAAATAGCAACTTTAAGTGGAGAAACCTCCCCAATACCACTCTAATCAAGCGATGAAGATTAACACCGCCAATGATAAGTCTTGTAGCCTGAAAGATATGATGTGATGAGAAATACACTCCAGAGGTGAAGTGGTATTTTCCCCCAAACACAATCTCAGTCTAATCATGAGAGCAACACCTGACAAATCCAAATTGAGAAACATTCCACAAAATACATGATCAAAGCTGTGAAGGTTGTGAATCATAAGGAAAGACTGAGACAGAGGACACCAAGAAGGCATGACAATTAAATGCCATGTAGAAACCTGGATTGGAACTTGGAACAGGAAAGAACATGAGTGAAAAAACTTGTGAAATCTGACTACAGTGTGGGGTTTAGTTAATAGCAATGTGCCAATTTTAATTTCTCATTTTTGACAAGTGTACCATGGGTTCTGTAAGACGTTAACATTACAGAAAACTGGGGAAAGGATATGCAGAAATTGTACATCTTTGCAATTAAAATGTAAAATTTAAAATTATTCCAAAATAAAAAGGTTATTAAAAAATCATTAGTCCAAGCAAAACACGTCTGTAGATGAATCTGGCCTGAAGCCTTCTGTTGGATCCTCTGGTTTAGAAGGAAAATAAATGTTCCCATGACATTGTCCCCCTGAATCATCAGAGATCATAGTAAGCAACTAGCCCTTAAGTCAAAGAAGAATCCTCCATTACACTTATGTACAATCTTTTCCTTCCTTCTAATAAATGACCTGATCTTCCCTCACTCACATATATATGTTTTGTCTTTCTCCTTCCTGATATGCCAGTGTAATGGTTGGAGCTGTAATAGCTATGTGGATCATGAAACGACCTTTGGACTGGAAGCCCTGTTCAGTGGAACAATAAGATAATGTATTTTATCTAATCAAACATAATTTAAGGCACACCATTATTCTATGTACCACAAAAAAAGAAAGTGCTACCAGTTAAATTAGAACACAGTGTTTTCTTATCCCTTCGATTTTTAAATTTACAGTTACTGGAAAATCTTTTCCAATATTTAAGCACAGATTTTGTTACTGAATTATTCTTATGTGTACACATAGAAAGGAAACTATGCGCTAAATAAATTACTTTGAGTACTGCTAGAACTTCAGATTCAAATTTCAATTCTTCTGAATCACTTCTGTACTCAGAATCATTGATATCTCTTAATATCATCCTCTGTGCCATCAAGCATGCTGGTAATGCAGTATTTTTTAAAAAGGATACATGTCTAATATCCCCAGGATTTTTTCATAGCCGATGATACCACTTTGTTTAGTTTTGCAGTGCATCCTCAGGCAATGACAGGTATGGCCAGCAGTAATTGTAAGATACATCCCAATTTCAAATATGTTAAAGTGTAAAGAAAACAATGTGCCTCTTGAAATCCGTGAAATCTGATTGAAAGCTCTTCCATGTATAAAAGAAGTATGGAAGAAAACAGTTCAGTAGCCCTGAACTGTTTTCTTCCATACTTCTTTTATATATGAAAAGGAAAACCTATCTTTTATAAGACGCTGCTTTTCTGGTCTTTGTTACTACTCATAACCTAACCCAAACCAAACAGTCATAGGATTCCTAAAAATATGGTAGCCATTGTACTTTCCTTTCTTACTGTACCTCATCCCCTTCCTATAGCTCCCTTGACTAGTGAATCAAGGTGTACATTTCTTTCCTTTTACCTTTTAGGTGTCCTCACACTTTGCTAATATGGTTACTCTCATTTCACCTTTCCCTTCAGCTTTCCTGAGGCAAATTCTCTGTCAATATCTCTGTGAAACTGATCTGAGGACTGCAATTAAAACAACAACAGCAGCTACATCAAATTGTTATTTTAAAATTGTTATTTTAAAAGCATAGTATAACTTTCAAGGTTACAGATAATGCTTTCCTCTACTAAATACTTGATTAGATATGTCTCTCAGGCTTGTACAAAGAAAGTGTAATTGCTGGTAAATGAAAAGGAAAAGGAGAATTAAAAAATCAGAAATGTAGAGCAGTTATCCAGAGTAGGGAAGATTCAGGAGAAATTAATGGGTGCTTTGTACTGCTTGTCACACACATTTCTAAGGAAAAAAATACTTTTCCTTTTTCTAGAAAATGAAGTACAAGTTGTCAGTGACAACCACCTATTAAGAAATTTCCTTTGTGATAGAGTGAGGGTTTTTTCCCCAGTGGTAAATTATTCAACATAGTTAATTTGAATCTGTGTTTGAACCTGAGATAAAGTTATCAATTTTACCATTTTCCCTCAGTCTGTCCCAATGCTATCATTGTCTGAGACTTTGGTACCCGTAGCAGCAGACACTGTTTCGGCCATCACTCCCCCAAGCAACAGAGCGCAATGAATGACTGACAAGCATCAGTTTTATGTCTCAGGGTGGTATTTTGCAGGGCTGAAAGACTGAGGCACAACTCACTCTTCAGTATTAAAAGTCAGGCTATCGAAGAATTAGGAAGGCTTTGTGTATGTGGGAATGTGGCCCACCTATAAGAAGTTTGTTCTCTCCTTTTAAGAGGAAGGTGGCAAGGGAGGGTGAGAAAATGAGGAGACTTGTAGCAATGGACAAGGTCAAGACATTGAAAAGTGCCAGTGGGGCCTGCTTGGTCTAAATGTTTCTTACATTTTTCCACCGTTGCCCCACATATTCAAAAGACTTTGTGGACCCTAAAACTGAACCAAAAGGAGGGGATTTAGAACATTCATGTTTTTCTTGCAGTGGAACAAGAATAGAGACAATTAAGCTGCTGCTTTACCTAGACTTCCCAGCCAGGGATCCTGAAAGCAAAGCTGTGAAATGTGATACTACAAATAGTGGCATGTGATAGGTGCTGGAGTGTAATCACAATTCTCTTTGAGTCTTGCAGGTGAGGAAATCCTGCCTTTTCAGGTAAAATAAAAGGATGTTGTTCAAAGTGGACTTCTCTGCATTATCCTGGGGTCTCTCTCAATCACAGGAAAGGGAAAAGTGGGGTAAAGAGGGGACCCCGTGGCCAAGAGGGAACCAATCTGGCATCGGCTATAGATCTCAGTAAAGAGACCACAACAGGCAATGTAGAGACAATAGTATACTGCATATAATAAACAGACTGGGCTTCTCTGTCCAGGCTTTGAGATGAGCTAGATTTGCAGATAGAGCATGTGTGTTTACATAGCCACCCCCATTTACCTGTTGTGCTTGAAGAGAAGCAACTGACAGTGAAGACATGTGGTAGAGGGATGGATGGTGCACTCTTTGGGGATTTCCAGCCCCAAGGCCTTCTTAGGTACTCAGTGCCAACTCAGGCAACAGTGTTAGTGTCTGTTTTGTGGAGAGAACCTGAACAGAGGGATTCAGGTGTACAGGTAAGGCAGCCCTGTAATGCCCTGCTACTTCATATAGTCTGTTGCTTATTCTGAAGGCCTCTTTCATATAAGAAGGATTTTGGCTGAGGTTGAGAAGCTGTCCCCACCCTAGACTGGAAGGCACACCTGTAATTAGGAGAGAGATTATAGTGATCAGGGCTGTCTTTAAGAGTGTTGGGGGATTTCCCTCCCAGGGCTGGTTATTTGGCTAGATTCCCAGCCTACCCACACAACCTTCTTTAACCTGTTGATACACTTGCAGGGTAACAGAAAGAAAAAGGAACATGGCATCAGAAGATCAAAGTTTATGTCCAAATTCCACAACTTCTTGCCTGTATGGCCTCCCTTTTTTTCACTAATAAAGTCACGATACTTGTCCTTCCTTCTTCCTGAGATTCTTGTAAAAACAAAGTATGATAATGTAAATAAAAAGACTTGGACTTGCAAAGTGCCATTTTAGTTTGTCAGCCCCTTGGCTATGGGGAAGCCAGCTTAAGTCTCCCATGATAACTGTCACCTAGGGTGAGCTTGCCAAAGAGCTACCCTGCCATGCTGTCACCCAGAGCCCTCAGTTGCTACTCAGAATCAACAAACATTAACATTGGCATATTTTACTAACCAAAGTTTTCATGTAAATTTGAACACCCCTTTGTTTATTTTAATCCGTGCCCAATCCCATTCTCTTCACTTCTTCCCCGAATGCAACTACTATGATGAATTCCAGACCATGTTTTACACTTTACCATGCCCATACACCCCACAGTCACCAGGGCCCAAGACTGCCAGCCCCACCCCATGTCACCCCACATACCAAGGTTGTTTACAAAGGGAAGACGAATGTGTTTTCCAGGGGCCCATAGAATACCATTCCCCTACACCCCCGCAGATCCTGAGCTGCATGCAGATGGAGCAGGGGTGGTGGGTGGTGGTTGGAGAGACTGCTGGATACCTACTTTAAAGTTGCATGGGGATGTGCCCTGATTCCTAAAAGGTGAGAGGTGCAGGCACGCATCAACTGGACACCTGTATTGCTTTGAAAACCAGATAACTTTATTGCTAACAAGAGTAAAACTGAAAGAAAAACCTGAAGAGAACCTTCTCAAAGGGCAGCATGCGGGTCTCGCCGGAAGGCACCCTATGGCTGTGGGGCCCTTCTGGGCTTAGGTCTCTTTGACACGGCCGCTCAGGGTGAGCTCGTTGAACAGGTACTCAGCCAGGCCAGCTTCTGGGGAACGTATCTTACGCAGGTTGCTCACGTAGTCGCCCAACTCTTTGATGGCCTTGACTTGCTCATGCAGGTGGCTCCCCAGAGAGTCGCACAGCTGAGAATCGCCCTTCTCGGTGGCCAGTTGGTACAGCTCCAGCAGGCTCTGGTTGATGGTCTTTTCTAGATTGAAGGCGCACTCCATGGCCTTGAGCCCGCTCTCCCAGCCTTGGCGCTCTGGCTTCTTAACGTCGTCAAGGGAGATGAAGCCACCGCGCTGGTTCTGCAGGCTCACCAGCTTCTCGGCATGCTTTATCTTGTCGTCTGACAGGCACAGGAAGTAGTGGCAGAAGTTCTTCAGGGCTACATCGTCCTGGTTGAAGTAGACAGCCATGGACAGGTACAAGTAGGAGGCATAGACCTCCAGCTTGATGTGGCTGTTGACGGCTTCCTCGTAGTTTTTGTCGTCGTTCTGGAGCACTTGCGGAGATGGGGCGGTGGCCATGGTGAGCAGCACAGGCTCAGCGAACACACAGGCGAAGTCGGTGCGGTAGCAAGGGCAGCGGCAGAAGCAGCAACAAATGGCGGATGGTGAATAGCGAGTGTGTGACGAAGCCGGAAGTGACGGAACCGGAAGTGATGGAACCGTAGGTAGGGAGTGGCGACCGTTAGGCAAGGGTCCGCTCTGTCTGTGGGGGGAGGGGTGGGGAGCGTGAGCACTGAGTTCTAGCTGAAATCCATGCTATTTGGCACTGAACATTTCAAGACCATCTTTAAAAAATAACTGCTCTAAGCCGGGTGCGGTGGCACATGCCTGTAATCCCAGCACTTTGGGAGGCCAAGTTGGGCAGATTATGAGGTCAAGAGTTTGAGACCATCCTAGCCAGCATGGCGAAACCCCGTCTCTACTAAAAATAAAAAAATTAGCCTGACCTGGTGGCACGTGCCTGTGGTCCCAGCTGCTCAGGAGGCTGAGGCAGAAGAATTGCTTGAACCTAGGAGGCAGAGTTTGCAGTGAGGCAAGATTGTGCCACTGCACTCTAGCCTGGCAACTGAGTAAGACTCCATCTCAAAAAAAAAATAAATAAATAACTGCTTTAGGCTGACAGCAGTACCTTATTACAAAGTGAAATTCCTTACCCATGAGTAGTTACTGCCCATCTTGCTTCCTTCACAGTCCCAACAGTCACAAGTGAACTTTCTATTTCTAGAGATTTACTTATTCTGGACATTTCAAATAAATGAAATCAAGCTATATGCAGCCTTTTGTAGATGGCTTCTTTTATTTAGCATATATTTAACTTTTATCTTTTTTTATGGCTGAATTATATTCCATTGTATGGATATACCACATTTTATTTAGCTATTCATCAGTTGATGGGCATTTGGGTTGCTTCCATTTTGTGACTGTTATGACTAATGCAGCTATGAGCATTTTCAAAATAGACATATGTTTCAATTCCCTTGGTTATATACCTTGGAGTAGAATTGCCAGGTCATATTTTAAGTCTCTGTTTAACCTTTTGAGGAACTGCTAGCCTGTTTTCCAAAGTGCCCTCATCATTTTACATGTCTACTAACAATGTATGAAGGTTCCAACACTGTCATTGTCTTTGTTGTTTTAGTGGATGAAAGTGGTATTTCTCTGTGGTTTTGATTTGCATTTCCCTAATGCAAATTAATGATGTTGAGAATCTTTTTATAGCTCTTTGTATATCTTCCTTGGAGAAATCTCTATTCAAGTCATTTGCCCATTTTAAAATTGGGTTATTTGTATTGTTGAGATTTAATAGTTTTATATATTTTATGAGTTTAAGTCCTTTTTCAGGTATATGATTTGCAAATATCTTCTCTCATTCTGTGTGTTTTTTTTTCACTTTCTTGAAGCATGAAAGTTCTTAATTATGATGTTCAGTTTTTCTGTTTTTCTCTTGCCACTTGTGCTTTTAGTGTCCTAAGAAATCATTGCCTAATTCAAGGTCATAAACATTTATGCCCAGGTTTCAGTTTCTCTCTTTCTCTCTCTCCCCCATCCTTCCTTCCTCTCTCTGTCTCCCCTCGCCCTCTCTCTCTCTCTCCCCCCCCCTTTCTCTTTCTCTCTCTTTCTCTTTCTCTTTCTTTATTTCTATCTGTTTGTCTGTCTTCCCAGAGTCTTGCTTTGTGACCAGGCTGGAGTGCAGTGGTGAGATCTCGGGTCACTGCAACCTCTGCCTCCCAGGTTCAAGTGATTCTCCTGCCTCAGCCTCCCAAGTATCTGGGACTACAAGCATGCATGACCAAGCCCAGCTAATTTTTTGTATTTTTAGTAGAGACAGGGTTTCATGATGTTGGCCAGGACGGTCTTGATCTCTTGACCTTGTGATCTGCCCAGCTTGGCCTCCCAAAGTGCTGGGATTACAGGTGTGAGCCACTGCGCTGGACCTACATTTAAGTTTCTAAATCATTTTGAGTTGACTTTGGTATATGATGCGAGATCATTGTCCAATTTCATTCCTTTGTGTGTCGTTCTAGCACCATCTGTGGTTCTTTGTGTGTTGTTCTAGCACCATCCAGTTCTAGCACCATCTGTGGAGAAGACCATTTTTTGGTCTTGGCATACTTGTCAAAAATCAATTGACCATAGATGTATGGGTTTATTTCTGGACTCCCAATTCTATTCTGTCACTCTGTGTGTCTAAACTGATGTGGGTGCAACACTGGCTTGATTACTGTAGTTTTGTAATAAGTTCTGAAATTGGGAAGTGTAGTCCTCCAACTCTATTCTTCTGCAGGATTGCTTTGGCTATTCTGGGTCCTTTTAATTCCCATATGAATTTTAGGATATATTTGTCAATTTCTTTTTTTTTATTTAAGCCAGCTGGGATTTTTATAGGGATTATATTAAACCTGTAGGTCATTTGTGGGAATGTTGATATCTTAATAATGCTAATTCTTCTAATCCATAAACATAGGATGTCTTTTATTTATGTCCAGGACCTTTAAAAATAAAGATTTTGATTTAGTCTGGGGCCCCAAATCAGAATTTCTAAACATCTCAGATGATGCCAGACCACATTTTGAGCAGTAATGCTGTGAGAGGGAGGAGGCCTCTATGTCTTATCAAGATTTGGAGATAAGGAGGACACATATATTGGACTCCACAAGCAAAAATCCTGTTCTCACATCACAGACGATGCTTGTGTTATTATACTAGATGTAGTTTTCTATGGGAAAGGGAAGAGGCCTTTCTTCTATCACAAAAAATTGTGAAAGACTTTAAAATCAGCAAAAACAATTTCCTGGATATGCTTTTTAGAGTACCTTTCTGGGTTATCTCACCTTTCATTGACTTCGAGTTATTTTCTGACTCTTCAGATTGTAGAAAATTAATAATGCAAAGATTCTTGTCCACAGAGATGCAAATAAATGTCTGGAATGCAATTGATCTTTGACTCATTTTGCATCTATTTGCACATTTTTTGTTTCAACATTCTTTATTGCCTAAATATGTGTGGCTCTTTGAATTCTCCTTTGAACCATTTGTAACATCTTACTGGTTTCCTCATTTAATAAGTTTAAATGTTTTATGCATATAATTTATAATTATATAAGAGATATGATTTACTTTTTCCCTTAGTTATTCTTTAGCACTTCCCATATCGATCCCTACTGGACCAGGATCACAATTGAAGCCCATGGGAGTTGACTTGCTAAAGTGAGCACTTTTATGGGTAGCTCACCTCAGATATGATTCCAGAAAATTACTTAGGACCTAAGGGCATAGAATTCCTGACTGAAATATGGACTGTGGAAAGATAGCATTTCTAAGGAGAAGGAGGCAGGGCATTCTCCAGGGTTGTAGGAGACCAGTGAAAACTAGCAGAGTAAGTGGGTATCTAGGGAGCAGGCCACAGAGGTACCTCACCGGCAGAACACTGTAGCCACTGACGGCTGAGGCTGGCCTGATGTAAACTGGGTAGGAGGTAGGGGCAACCAGTAAAGGTGTGTAGAAAACTGGGACCAGCTGAGAACCAGGGAAATAATGAGAGTTTCCAGGTAGAGAATGTAGTTAACAGAGATTTGAGGTGTGGAAGGTTGACTGACTCACATGGAAACTTGACAGGCTGAGGTTCATGGTCTGAGTAAAGTTAACCCTGGAAAAGAGGTAGGAACCCGAGCTTTTGGAATCATAATGAAGGATCCTCTCATCAGCACTTTTGTGCTCCCTGAATCATACCCCTGGAAGGGGTGTTCGAATCTACAGATACTAAGAGTGTGGCATATCCAGGACTGGGCCATGGGCTCTATCCTCCATAGAAGCTTCCTTCCAGCTGGTCCTCAGATGTAGGGAAGCTCTAATGCATTCTTCTTGGCTCTCTATGGAACAACTTTTTAGCACAAAGGCTGTAGGATAGTGGTGACTTCTATTTGGCTGGACACTAAAGAGGCATGTTCAACACTCACATCCATACCATATTCTAAGAAAGAAAAGCTCCTTTCAGTCTCTAATTCCTTACTGTTCTGATTTTGGGGGGAAAAATGAATCACTATATTGAAGAGCAAAGGAAAACCCTCAATATTAGACATGACCATTGTATGTATTGATTTTGTATAAGTCTATGGGTGATATTTGTTAAATAGAAATTATTTCTAAGGTTGTAACTTTCCACTTCTATTCAGTGTGCTAGATAATCTCCATATGCCTCTCTAAGTCTGCTCTCTGTCCCTCTCCATCTTATTTGGCACACTGGGAATGGGAGGCTGACCTGTATGTACTGCATCCCTAGGCCCCTTGTGCTCTCTGACTACTAGTTGGATTCAGCCAATGGGAGGCACTGGCAGGATATGGGAGGGCAGGGGAGGAGTGAAGTTGAGGTATTTACTCTCTTGGCTCCCTCTCTTCAGGGTCGATAATTAAGAAGCACCTTTATTTCCCTGTTATAGGTTTTGCCCCCTGGATGCAGTGGGACCATTCTCAGCATAGGCCTTCTGCAAACATTACTACAAAGAACAGGTGTTCTTTGGCTCAGGTTTAATGCACAGCCTAAGAAATTTATGGGGTCCCAGAAACCAGTGTGCAGCTAGACATTCCTTCAGGCTAGAGGATCAATGGAGCTGATGGGAGAAATAAAGAACCTGACTTAGGATTGTCTCGGGCTAAAATAATAATGGCATACGTGGAACTGCCACCCGTGATTCAGGCTCCAACTTTCTAGCTTGTGGATTTCTCTGGCTTTTGGATTCCATCTTAGGTGACTACCGTTTTGATTACCTCTCATCTCATTAGTGGTTTCATGAGAATGAGGATCATGTAAGATGAAGCAGGGAGAATAATTATCTACTTGTTAGTAACCATGTTTAAAAGTCTGGTTGGGGAAGATGTTGACTTAAGGTTTGAGGACAATCTCAAGTAAAGCTTTATTTATTTCAAGTAAAACTTTGTCCTTCTCTGTCTACCCTCTATTGCCCATGATTAAAGCTACCCCAGAGTGTTCTGCACAGCACTGTGTCAGTGAGCCCAGTCAATGTACACAAGAGATTATATGTGCTGATTACTTAATTTGACACCTCTTAATTATTTGCTCTTAGGAAGGACAATATGATCCTTAATTTTCGGTACCCAAAAGGATATTTTAAGTTTCCTTTGTTTCTTATCTT